CTTGCTGCAGTAGCAAAAAAGTTTCGTAAAAAACCATAAAAGACATTTTTGCCAGAAAAAAAACCAACTGCTTTAAAATTGTCAACATTTTCAGAGATCTAAGAGCATAATTACATTTAGCCTAAAAACCACAAATTTGGCCATGATTGCAGTCAAAAATTTTCAAAAATTCCGATAACAACTCCAAAATCCAAGTCCAAACAAGTCCAAAATTGACCCGTAAGCCATTTTGCAGAATAAACTAAGATATCTACTTATACTTTTGTTCTATTTTTGCAGAAGAGTATCTGATGAGAAAAAACTCAAAAAATACAAGTCGAAACGATTCACCAAACAAACGAAAATGAAACTTAACACTCAATTTCTAAAAAAAAATCAAGTTAGACTAAATCACATCACTTGCACTAAACAAAAACTTTTAATTAGAAGTTTTGAAATTTCTACCGCAAAAAGATCAATAATAGTTTAATTCACTTTCAAGCCTGGAATGAAAAAAAAAGTTGACACAAATCATGAGTTCATGAAAGTCAATTAGGACTTCTTTAATCAAAAAACTGACAAACTACACTATCTAGATGAAAACTCACTTCAACCTCTAATTCGTATCGTCCAATATTCGCACTGTAAATGAATCTTACCGAGCTTCAGTCAAAAAACAAGAAGCTTAAAAAACATTGAGAAAAACGAATTGCATAACTCGATCTTTATCTTTATACAAAAAAATAACATAATGCATTTGAACTTGATTTTAACGAGGATTTGGAAAAAAGCTGAAATTGAACAGACAAAAATTGAGCGAAATAAGGATAGGGCAAAAAAAATAGCAAAAGCAATCTTGCAGGTACGACGCAGCAAATACCGACCAGGATTAAAAAAAAAAGATTTTTATAGACCACATACATTACTAATAGATCAACTACGCACGAACTTTCGAGTTGTTTTAATTGAATTTTAGGTTTTAGAAGACGCTAGAAAACAATTTTGATCACCGATAAAATCGGGAAAAAATATTAAAACAAAACAAAAAAAATTAACACAATTCGAAATTTTCAAAAAATACAGTGTTGAAGCAAAAAAAAAACAATGTTGAAAATAAAACATGCCAGTAAAAAAATGTGACACTAGCATCGGAAGAAAACTTACCAAGCCGTAAGAAAGTAGGAAGTACCTGAGCAGCAACAGTTTGAGCCTACAAAATACATTAAAACTTATTTAAAATGTTTGAGTTCTCTCCCCCTCAAAACAACCGCACACGCACAAAAAAATCTATGTTTGCGATAGTGAGTTTGCCTTTCTTTTAACAAAAGAAATGAACTAAAAATTTTTTAAAAAAATCGAGTCAAACTGCGAACAATCAAATTTCTTGAAAAATAAAAAATCATCAAAAATTATTTAAAAAACTAAGTTCAATAACTCGTTAAAATAAAATTACTTCAATGAGTTTTACGTTTCATCTGGGCAATGGTTGCGTTGAACAAAAACACTAGCGACCAATAATGCAGCTACAGATGCTGTTAAATTTCCGACGCTTGAAATGTTTCAACATTTTCACCAAATCAGTTTTTAATTTTCAATTTGTGATGGAAAAAACATTGATTCGTATTATATCAAAAAAAAATTTTGTTCCTTATAAATATGAAATAGTAAACTATGGCATTGAACACTTTGTTCCTTGTTTAAAAAATTTTTTAGTTTAATAATTTGCGCACACAAAGAACAGCATAATCAACAAACGTAAAGCAACCAAACCAATGAAAACTTTTGATCACTAATGAGTCAAAACCTAAGCCAAAACTAAGAACAACTTAAAAATTTCTACTGAGCCATCAGGGCAAATTTTGATGATTTTTGCCTAAAATAGAATTAGTCAGAAGTAGCAAGAAGAGGCAGTTAGGCAAATAAAAAAAGACTCGAGAACTCTTCTTGTTGTAAAAAAGGAGGAAAAACATTGGCAATTATTTTCGAACAATTTTCGTTTTGAAATAGGAGTAAAAAGCCAGCTCAGTAAACGTTAAAAAAGCAAATAACTAGTTTCACTAATGAAATAGATTGACAATGTCAACTCATTTGAGGTAACCCTCAGGAACTTGAGCGAAGCAAAACTGACGAGGCGGAAATTGGAAATCTTTAAATTTTAAAATGCTGAAAATACACTTGCATGACTTTTCAAGGATTATGAAGATATAGTATTATGGATCAAGTTACATCATCATCAATTTCTTTCGAACTTAAAAAAATGCTAATTTAAATTTTAAAATTACGCAATTGGAGAGAAACCAATTACTGAACTATTTTTTTAAATACAATTCGAACTTAACAGTGTGGCTTGATTATTCACTGGAGAGCATAGTTTGGCAAAATAGGAAAATATCTACCCACACAAGTGCAGCAGAACTTTTCAAACTGTCAAAAAAACCTAAAGGACTTTTCAACAAAAAGCTGCACTTTGCAAATTCAAACAAAAAAAAACGTCAAACGGACTTTTCAACAAAAAGCTGAACTTTGCAAGCTCAAACAAAAAAACGTTAAAAGGGAGCAGGATTTTTTTTAGTTATACCTTTTTTGAAAATCGAAAGAGTAGTTTTCTACCAAACTAAAAATTTTGTTAAACGCGAAAAAAAATCTAGAGCTTCTCAAAAAAAAACCCAGTCCCAAACATTTTGATAATACCTGATTTTGTCAAACATGAAAATTTTGGAATTCCAAACTACGACATAGAAACTGATTAAGACGATACAAGGTAAGCCAAGACCGTTTAATTGAAAAAAAAAACATTATAAAAAACAAAATTATTCAAAATCAGACTTGGTAAAATGACAAATTACAAAATTTCAATCGTATTAAAAATAAATTGGAGTCAAAATAAAATCCATGCTTTACGATTAAATTTAGTATCAGATAAAATGAATACCATTGAAAAAAAACGGAATGAGCCGACGGACACTAGGCCGAAAACCACGACTCTAAAAAAATCAATCATTTTTCAAAAAATCTATTCGAAAAAAAAATAACTAACGCCCAACTATTTACTGCCTAGATAAGGTAGTTTGTTTTATTTGAAATTTCATGACATTGAGCCTGTCAGCAGCATTGCAGCAATTGATTCAACTGATTTTTTAAACTCGTCATTAACTCGGAAAAGTCTGTATTCCGATTTGATAACGCTTGCTATTTGCAAGGGCTACAAGGAGCGGGTTGCTTTGCAAGTACCACAAAAGTTTCCATCTATGATAAAAAAAAACTGAAAAGAAATTTTTTTCAATTAAATTCAACTTTTTAAATGAAATTCAACAATGAAATTCGCAGTAAAAAAGGCATATTGAAAATCTGTTTTCTTCAAAAAAAATACACATGTATAAAAAAAAAAACATTTTTTTTAGGAATGGCGCAAAAAAATTACTTGGTTAGAATTTTAAGGGTTTGAATAAAAATTCGACTAGTTCATTACTAATCTGCGACTATCCTTCTATAAAAAGCCTGATCGCTTGCTTTACTCGCACGAAATTAGACAAAAAATCAAAAAATAAAAATTTCACATTCAGTTTTTCTCAACACTGGGAAAATTTTCGGAGAAGTTTTTTATGTCGTTCAAGTCGCGACTGAAAGGATTTTGGTATGATATATCACTCAATCCACCGGTGATTTTTTTGTGGAACCTGATTTTGCGTATAAAACAAAAAAGTAACAAACACACCCAAATACAAAGTTCCTTCTCATTTTCAATGGTCCAAACAAAAAGAAATCGCCGACAACCAGAGTTGGTGTGCTATGCTTTCACCATGGCAATTAAATTACCGCAAACGTCAGCCAACAAAAAAAAAACATATGGAACACTCGCTTTTAAATTGCCGATGATGAAATTCTGATGGCTGCTGATAAGGAGCTAATTAAGGAACTTGAAAAATATCAACGCGTATTATCACACAAGCGTTTGCTTGCCAATGAACGCAAGGAAACGTCAATGAATGCAAGGAAACCGGAAAAACCTGACAGATTGAAATAAAACAGCTTTCGAAATTCGAAACATAGCCAACAGACACTTGAAAAAGAGTCAATGAACACAAAGAAACAAAAAACTGACTTGGAAAAACCTTCAACTTTCAAAATTCAAAAAAAAACAAATATATGGCATTAAAGTTAGTTCTTGAAATTTCAAGAACAATTAAAGACAGAACATTTTTGATAAAAAATAATTAAATTTGAGAAAACTGGATCAATGGATTAACTTTTTATACCGCTGGAAATGTAAAACTTTAAATAACTTTTCGCAACTAGAAAGAATTTACGCTTTTTTGCGACATTTCCAAATTCGCAATTTACTTAACGTGTCGCACTCAAAAACGCATATACACTCAATTCCCTGGAAAAAAATCATAGCGACCTATAAGAGTCTAAACGTTCATCGACTAGAAAAAAGAAATATATGAAACAATTTTAAGGAAAAACTTATTATTGACAATTTTTTTGATAAAATTTACCCAATTTGAAAAAATATGGATCAATAGGTGAAATTTTTAAATCGTTCACGAAAATAATCAACACGAGCTACATAAGTTTTTTAAAGCAAATTAAAAGTGATCTTCAGGTCAAACTGTCTTGACATGGAAATGACCCTGAAAAAACTTTTCGCTGAAAACACTACCTAAATAAGTTTTCAAAAACTCAAAACACCTTAATTCTAAACTTATAAAGTGGTGAAATAATTAGTTCATTTAGCTATACAGAAACTTACTGATCTGTCACAATCTCACATCATTAGTTTAAAAAATTTTGCACAAAAAATTTAGTCAGCGCGCAGTCTTATTATTGAAATAGTTTCGCCACATTCTTTTTATTCGTTAAAATTGTTTTAAGTAAAACCTTTATACTAATTTTGGTTTTCTACAAATGTTTTTTGAAGTTATTCATATTTTTATAGCACGCAATTAATTTAGCCATAATTCCTTTTGTAGGCTACTTGAATTAACTAGGGCTTTAAAATGAGGTTGAAAATCGCTGAATTAAACATTTCTATACAAGCTATGAAACAAAACCAATAAAATTGAGGAAAAGATTATGCAATCACAAACTATGTCATCAACTAGGGCATTTTATGTTAACATAAATCGTCTATAACGGCTCCATTTCAATTTAAGGTTGAGGTATACAGATCGAATCTGCTACAAGCAAACAGATCGAATTCATGTCGTGGGCCAAATAGAAGAACAGTTAACATTCAAAAGCAATACGGAAAGGATAAAATCAGTAAATTGAAGAAATCAACCGACCAATTAATAATTCATTTTATTCATCAGACCAGGTTGAAATTAATATTAACTAACATCATCAGTTTGAAAATTTGAAACTCCGTTTCGGAGACAGGTTAAATCGAGTTCAGTTTTAAAATTGTTTATGAACAGCGTAAAAACAGAGCAAGTTTTTGAAAGAACCCAATTCAAATTATTGACACTTATAATGCATGGGCAACAGGTGCTGTCACGTGAAACACTTTGTTGTCACGTGTGCGGCGCCGTGAGATTTGAGGAGGAGGCAGCTAGGTGGGAAGGAGGGCGGACAAAAGAAGAAAGTGTTGCTGATGAGCCCCCCGTGGACGATGCGGAGGAGGAAGAGGACGGTCTGACAATCAGGGTAACTCCACTGTTCGAAAGAAACTGCTTCAGATGTGAAGATGTGCTAAGGTTGGTTGAACTACTGTTGACCAGGTTTGTTTTTGAGGCCGAATGCGGAGGAGCTCCCGAGGAAGATCCTGTTTTTGAGGCGAATTGGTTAGCCGACGGAATGGTGGCGGTGCTCGCTGCAGAGCTACTCGTTGTGCTGGAGGAAGGCGCGGAGAATGAGACGGAACTAGAGGATGCTGAACTTGCTCCCCCGCCGCTACTTGTTGACATTCCACTTTCGATCGAGGTGCCCCCACCCAGATTGATGCTGGTATTTTCCAACTCCTGAATTTGCTCCCGGATGAAGTGGATCCTAAAACAGAGCCAACAGAGTCATAAACGTCAGAAAACATAGAAAAAAAGAACTTGTTTTTTATTTTTAAAAAATCTCATCTTTCGAAATTCAAATTAAACACAGAGGCGAAGTTGCGCTTTGCAAACACTTGCGAGAACAGCAGCTCTATAAAGCGAAATAAGAAAGAGTAAAAATATGCCTCGAAACAGCAAAAACTCGGCTACGTGTCGGATTCGATTCTGCGACCTAGCAAATTTGAGTCTCACGCTTTAACTACTCAGCCACGGATGTTTAAAATCCCGAAAAACTAGCCACCAATAAAGCAGCTACATGTGCTAATAAATTGCCAATTCGATGCAGCAAAAGTATCACCAAATATAAAAAGACTCAACTTTGCATGTAACAAATCGCAAAGCATAAAGCAAATTATGTATAAATTAAGCATTTCAAACAATTGCGAAATATATTGAGTTAGTAATTTTGTGAAACCGAGTTTTATTGTTATGTTGTTTGAAACAAATAGCTTTTCCGTTTCATTTGATGTAATAAAAATGCATCATATGTGTAAACTTATTACTATTCGAATGTCAGAGCACATGCTATTAATAAGCTGTAAAGGTGCTACAAAATTACGACTTAGGTTGGAAGCAAAGAAAATTCGTACTTATACACTTTGTTTTGCAAGTGTTAAAATATATGGCCTGAAACTTCTTGAATTTCTAGAACAATGACTGACACTTTTTTTGATAAAAATTAACCCAATTTGAGAACACTGGATCAAAAAGTAAACTTTTTATTTTGTTGGGAAATCTGAAAATTATAAATGGATTATGTCTCAAATGGCATAAAAATTTAAAAATTCTCAAATGTTATAAATTTCAAAAAAAAATTCCCATATGGCATAAAATTTGTAAATTTCCCAAATGGCATAAATAGTCTTAACTTTTCAAAATTGGCATTAAGATTTAAATTAACTTGAAAGTAATGTAACCGGAATATTCAACAGAAAAAAAGAACTAAAATGGTTTTACTTGAACTAAATGTTCTACTTGAATTAAATGCCGATAAGTGATTAGTAATTTGTTTAAAAGTGAACAAAATAAGGCGTGAAAAATGTCTGTAATGAACTGAATTTTTCACGTCTCAAAGTTTTCACACATTTTTTGAAATTTTTTATGCCATTTCGGAAAGGATTTGTTTTTACGCCATTTGGGAAGTTACCCTATAAGTCGATCACGTTTTTCGTTATCTTTACACTTTTGCTGTTCTCTACTATCGAATAGAGGATATTGCCTTCCTTTTTATAGAGAAAATTAACTGAACTCAGAAAATCAAAAGTCAAACCACGAAAAAAAAAATCACCGAGACCTATATAAGAGTATTGACTACGTTCAAGATTCTTAAAAATATTCCGAATGTTATGCACACCCAGAGGCTATGCTGCATTTCGCAAACACAAGCAAAAAAAACACAAAAAATAGAAGCTCCAAAACGGCAAGAAAGAAATCATAAGAACTTTGAAACTTAATCAACTTCAAAAACTAACAAGTACTTAAAATGAAATTTAAGTCTGAGTAGTGAATTAGTGTGGCTTATTCACTTAATTCAATTTTGTTCCTAATGTTTTCGTAGCTTTGATTTGCCACTGACCTTGCTTGTTGCAGAGTTGCTTGGATCTCGTTGGCTCTCACAACAGACCTCAGGAATTTCAGATCCACCGCCGTCTGGAAAGTCTGTAAAGCGTGTTTGGATTCTTCGCTCATATTCTTCAGTATCTAAAAGAACGACGCACTTATAAAATCCATTGCAAAAAAAATTACTCTACATTTGTGTACTTTTTCTACAACAAATTTAATGCTTACTGTAACATAGTATTTCGAGTTCACAATCTTTGGAATTTTCCAACTCCAATATACCATGGCCAGGCAAGCTTAATAAATTAGAGCTATTTGAGAAGGGAGGGAAATTTTACAATCTACGGCCGAAACTTTTCACGGTTGAATTTAGTACTATGCAATAACTTCTAGTCAATCTTCTTACTTGCGCTTCCATTGAGGCTGTGGGCCATTCGCAAATGTGCATCACTAATTCAGGGTCATAAAAATGAGTCGACGGTGGCAGTTCCTCTCGTTTTGGAGACTCGGGCAAATCAGCTTGTGCTTCGCCGCAGTTCTCGGTGATTCCATCATCTGATACGCCTGGCGACGCCTTTCCGAGTGGCGAACCAGCGAGCTCTTCTTCGTCTTTCGTCGGAGTTGTCTCTCTATCATTCGGAGTTTTTGTTGGATCATTCGAATCTGTGGATCCCATTCGTGCACGCTTTCTAGGCGTGCAGTAAGCTTCATTCCCTAACTGACTCTTTCCGTTAGGTTCATTCTCTGCTCTAGACTGTGAGGAGTTCAAATTATTTTCTGCGTTGGAATTCTTTGATCTTTTAGAACTAACGCTTCTGGAGTTATCCTTTCTGCTCTCTTTTCGGCTACCTCCGCTTGCATACCTAAATTGCAAATTGCAATCATTACCATGTTGGAAAAGAGGAACTTTCGAATTTCGAAGAAAAAATAGATGCCCTTAAAGCTCTTTGAATTTCTAGAACAATTTATCATTGGCACCTTTTTCAAAAAGTAACCCTATTTGAGAAAACTGGATTAATAGGATTTTTATTATTTCGCTGGGAAATCTGATAATTAAACTCAATTTTTGAAGTTAGAAGCCGATCAAGTTTTTCGTGACCTTTACATTTTCGATGTTCGATCGTGGAGTTCGCCTTCCTTTTATCAAAAGAAACAAACTGAACAAAAAACGAAAATCGTCGCGACCTATATTGTCTCTTAATAAATCTCTTCATTATAAAACCCTTATAAAGCCAAAACCCAGTTGCAATACCCTTGCCGATCGAATGGGTATCGCGGAACAACCAAATATTTTGATCAACAAAGGAAATATTATGTTTTTCAGATAAAACACGAAATTCGCAAAAACGTTAATTTCAGATAAAGAAGTCAAATAATATAGCACAATAGTATACGGCTAATTTTTGTTCCTATTATGGTTCAACTAACCTGGTATTGCAACTTGAAATGAAGGCCCAGTCTTCCGTGGCCGACCGATTCGGACTGGCAAAGTACTCCGAGTCTGGCATGGACATGGACTTGTTGAGCGTATTTTCCGAGTTCGAGTTCTCATTTGTGTGATAGTCTACGGGGACGGAAGAGTGGGTAGTAGCACCATTAGGAAGCAAAGAGTCCTCGCTGCTGCTATTCAGCGGGACTTCATTGCCATACCGCGCGGGTTTTCCTCGCGAATCGCCACTTAGATTTGACAATTCACAGTCATTTTCAAGACCCGAGCTACTTGTTAATCGTGGATCTGCAGTCGGGTAACTAGTCAACTTGCCATTGAGTGGAGATGTCAGCTGTTCTGTTAGGTGTGAGCTATGAGGTCGTTTCCTTTGAGCTAACGGCCTCGCTGACTGCAGCACCGTATCATGGCCTCTGGTAGGCTCGTTTGACTGTTGAACCATTAACTTGAGCATCTCTTCTGAACAGAAATTCATGTAAAAAAACTTAAATTCACCAGCATTTTCCGAGAAAAATAAGAAGTAGCTTCAAACTAACACAGTCAACAGAAGGTTGAAAAAAGGTAAGCAAAGAGGCGAATGTGAGCTTCACACCATCAGCGATACAACAGGTATAGGATTAAAACAGCAAGAGACTCAAAAACTACCAAAGAGGACTTCGAACCTTGATACCGTCGAAGAAAGAACAAGAAAAAGAAAAACATACCAACAACTCGGGAGGGGAAGGTTAAACTTGTTTTCACCTTAAAACGAGTCAAAATTAGGCCATTAAGCCGATGAAAAATAGGCCGAAACAATTTGGGCCGAGAGCAAAACAAAAACCAAGAGGGAAATACGAAATCAAGGATGAAAAACAAATAGGTCTTGGTCAGATTTGAACTCAGGACCTTTGTCGTCCCAGGCATATTCGTTAACTCCAGGCTAAATTTTTAATGTCGGTCAACCGCGACTAAGAAATTTATTATGATATATCATTCGACCCATTCCGAAAACCAAAACACACCCCAGTGCAAACTTCCTCGCATTTTTCAAAAGGTGGGAACAATAATCCTCTAAAAACACAGAGGCGAAGCTGCGCTTCGCAAACTCTAGCCAGAAAAGCAAAGTTAAATAAGGAAAATATTTAAAATACACCTCGCGAAATTTTTTTTAGTGAGATTAGCAGTATCGCGTTTTCACATCTGCTACACAGCCGCTTGTAATTTTACTAACACTAGCCACCAATAAAGCAGCTATAGTTTCTAACAAATTGACAATGCTACGCAGCGAAAATTCGACCAAAAAAATCAAATTGAATCTCCGACATGTTGATTAGGAACCACACATCCTCGCATCTGCGCCACGGTCGCTTGGAATAATTAGGCCGATAGCAGACGACAAAAAACAAATCACACGACCGAAATAAATTTCTTACTTCGTTCTATAACACCTGGAAGTTGAATCAATATGAAAAGCCCATACAGCGGGACCTAGGCCGATAGAGATTAAAATGACATATGATAATTTTGACAAAGGCGAAGCTTTGAATAGCAAACACTAACAAAAACACAATAAAAAGCTGACCACTCAGCCACGACGCTTAAATAATAATAAACACTAGCCTCAAATAAAGCAGAGAACAGATGCTACGAAATTTCCAATGCTACAGATCCTGACTAAAGCAAAAATGCCACCAAATAATGAACATTTATTTGCGAGCTAGGTTAGAAAATATCGAAGGTTCGTACCAATACACTTTCTTACATGCAAATTGCCGTGAACAATTTTCGAACAGCTTTATTTTGTAATTTTACGAGGGGGTGGGAAACTGGAAAAGAGCCGTAAGCTCGTATAAAAGTGACGACCCGAATGTCCTTTAGTGTCTAAAAAAAACTTTCCGTCACAATAAAACCTGCTTCCCACACGCAATATCAAAGTGATAACTTTGCATCTAACGCAATACTTGGATAATTTAGCTGGCTTCAATTCAATTTGGTATAATTTCTGAGTTCGGTTAATTCGCCGCCAACACTAACCGTTAATTAACAGTTTCCACTACACATATTGCTTTACGAAAGTTTGTCGCAGGTGAAAGATTTTTGTTTTTGAGCTCAAGGCATCAATATCTCACAGCTGTTTTAAAAATGATGCAGAACAAAATCTTAAGCTATAGGTAACTAAAAAATCCTACTACTAACTGCTCATTGCTGATTTGATATTCCGTTGACTATCTGAAGAATAACCGACTGAGTTTTCTTTTTGTGTCGGCTGATCGTCTTCAGGATTGGAGGCTTGTGTTGACAATTTACGCGAAATTTCATCTAAAACGAATGCTACAAAATTAGCCTGCTACAAAATTAGCCTATGGTCCATCCTTCAAAACCGTTATTATCGGTACCATGTTTGCTAGTTGTCTTTAATATAAATTGTTATGGTTGAGAGAAGGATACTTGACGCCTTATTTTTTTCTATCTAAAACCCTATAGGGGTTTAATCGAGAATACGTTTAAAAAAAGCTGGTTTTCGAGATATTCATGTTTGTATAGTATTTGATTTTATTTCGTATGATTTTTCAGGATACTTCTAGATTAGAATTAGGATTAGAAGCTTTATATTATTCGGCAAATTTCATTTTAGTATCTGAGAAGGATAAACTCAGTTATGTCATATGAATTTACTCACCAATTCTAGTTTAATTTTCAATTTAAATCTGGGAAAACATTTTTTCCTAGAAAAAAAATAAGGTGAAACAGATAAAGCAAGGAAAATCGAAGCACCTTGTTAGTTTTGATGAAATATCAACCTCAAAAACAGCAAGTTAATTTTTGAAAAAAGGGTAGGTTTCCAGAAAACGGGCAAAATTACAAAAATTGGACATTTTCTAAGGCCATTAAGTTTTTCAAAAGGCAGTGCATAGCCGCCTGCGCAGGTACGATTCGCATAACTAACATTTTCTTCCGTTTAAACCCTGAATCTCCGATTTAGCAGGTTGAGTTTTGAGAAAACGAAAAATTCTAGTTACCGATTACAAAACATTTACACTCGCGAATGAAATAAAAGTTAGATAAACCATTTAAAAAATTCCAGACTGAGGCCATGCGGAGTTTCGCAACACTTGCGATACAAAAAAAAACAGAGGCAAAGCTGTGCTTCGCAAACACTAGCAAGAACACGACAAAAAGCAGCTCTATTAAGTGCAATAAGAAAAAGTAGAATAAAGCCTCAGATTAGTGAAAACTCGGTTACGTCTCGGATTCCATCTGCGACATAGAGATTATGAGTCTCACACACTAACCACACTAAACGCTTAACTTATCACAAACACTAGCCACAAATAAAGCAGAGAACAGATGCAATGAACATTCGAATGCTACAGATCGTGATTATAGCAAAAAAGCCACCAAATAGGTGACCACTTTTAATTATCACTTTCATATGCGAGTTAGGTTATTTAAAAAAGGTTCGTACAAAAGCATTAACGCTCGCAAGTGTAAATATTGCGGTACAAGACAGTGAATCTAAAAAGAGACGGAAACCTGATTTTAGGCGACAAAATTAGGCGGCAAATAAGGCGACAAATTTTTTTCAACTCCTGTGTAGCCAGAAAAAATTAAACGAAATTTTTTTTAGCTATACGCGTTTTTATGACCCATCCGTACTGAAACAGAGAAAAACATACGAACATATTTTGCCCTCGAAACCACGCAATGTAAGTTGACTCAGCCAATATAACAAACGCTGTGACCGTTTAATCGAAAGGAAGAAAAAAATACAGAAGCGAAGCGGAGATTCGCATTACTTGTGATACAACGCAAGCAAAGCAAAGCAAGCTACCGAACAGAGACGGGAACAACAGTAAAAATGATTTTTTTTTGGAATAAAAACAAGCATTACACACGTTTTCACTATTTATCGAGCGGCCGTCGTCACCGAATGGGTAGCAGAACAGCATGTGTTGATCTCAGTTGAGAAGACAGAAGCCGTTGTAGTCTCGCTCAATCCTCGCGAAACAGCTGGCAAACCGATAACTGCCATCGATAACTCTTGAAACCACGCAATATACCAAAAAGCTGCCACCGATAATTCTGCTAGAAAGGAACATCGACTACAAGAAACAAGTGAAAAAACTCGGAGTACACGTCGACTCACAGCTGAGGTTCGGCAACCACGCTCAGAAAGCCTAGAAGAAGCTCCGCAGGCGAAACAAGATACTCAATGTGCTGGCAGGCAGACACTGGGGAATCAGCGCTACCGACCTCAAACGACTCTACAGAGCATATGTTAGACCCGGCGGATTGTATGCAGCAGAGATATGGGGTACCTTCACAGCGGACTTTCATATAGCTCACCTGAAGAACTGCAAGAACATGGCAGCACGGTCCATCACAAGAGCACCAAAGGGCTCGCCAGCCTCCCAAACAAGGGCTGAGATAGGGCTCAAGACGATGAAACAAGAAATCGAAGAAAATAAATCAAAATGCTGATCAGATTCAGTCAGTTCCCTGAATACCACCATCTCCATGTTCTGAACCAGCCAGTATCACGACAGAGACTCCAGTCCAGAGAAGACAACCGGCAGGACTGGAGATCTACTGCTCGAAAACGCCTAGCTACCATCGCAGAAGGGTACTAAACTACGGGGAATGATGCTCACAGCACAGGGTACTTTTATTTAAACTCTTAAAAAGTGAAACTTACTATTCCTACAAAATTGACCATTCTGAGGTGAACAAAGTTATTTATGGGAAAAAGTCTAGTACAAGGTTGCACCACCCTTGCTGGTCGCATGAGTAAAAAACGGTCAGAGAAAATTTTCTAATTTTTTTTTAAAATTTAGACTCGTTTTAGCTTTTTTGTTTTAAGCTAGCTTTCAGCCCCAACCCCTATTTACTATTTTTGGTTTTATTGACACGTTACCTTCATATTGTTGACAGAGGATGAACGAGAAACATTTTCAGATGAAACATTTCCTTTCACCGTCGGCCAACTAAGACAACCAGCTGATGACAGAATTTCATCTAATATACCCTACCTTTTGCATTGTCATGGATCCCGCCATTCGAATTTGATCTATTCGGATTGTTCTTTTCACTGAAGCAAAATGTTATTAAATTATAATGGTACAAGGGTAATACATACTTACGAAAGCGGAGAGTAATCAATTCTTACCCAGATAACTCTTTTGGCTTCTCCCAGACTGACTCTTTGGTTCTACTGTTATAGTAGTAATGATTTCCAGAGCTACTGATATGTTCAGACCACTCGCCTTCAATTCGCACCAAGTTGTTTGAAGATTTCGGCTGCGACATCTTAAATAAATTTTTGCATCGTTCGATTAAATTTGCAATTTTTAAGCTGTTTCTCGTACGTCCGCAACCATAGTTTATCAATAAATGAAACTAAATATTCCCTACCTCTAGTAATTAAAATACAAATGGATCAATATCATTTAGGTTTTATAAATGCTGCATATTTACCTCGGCTGGCTTCTCCCAAACAGTCCGTTTAGTTTGGAAATGAAAATAATAGTGCTTTCCGCTCCGACTAATATGCTCAGACCATCCATTTTCAAAACGGACGAAATTCGGGTTTTTCATAAGCTGAAATATATTAGTATTAAAAAATCATATATATGTAACATTTATGTTAGATGCGGGAACCAGAAACATACTTCTCTTTTGGCTCGCTGGTATTCGTCGTCTTTATTTCTTTCATTTTTATTGCGACTTTTTGCGTTCAACCGACTGTTGGATCTTTCAGATTCAGAGTAATTTTTAGGGCAGTCGTTGGACACGCGAGAATGATTTCCGCAGTTTTCAAGGTTTCTGGATATTCCGTTCATATTGACGGATTGCTTAACTGTTGAATTTCTGAATGGAGAAAATTGGTGAAAAGCTTGGATCAGTTCAACATGGCATGTCATCTCAGCAATACACCAACACTCCGAGCAAAGAAAAAGCTGCAAATCGTAATCCCATTCCAATTCAGCGCAACATCTCAATTTCTGACTTACACTCGAGTTTCATAACTCTGAAGATCAGCATTTGCATTTTGAAAAGCATAAAAACGACGCATTGATACGTGTATAATTTCAGCAAACTGACAGTTTCAAACAAAGTTACATTTCCATGCTCAACTCATTACAGTTCCAAAACATATATTTCCAGATGTGAGCGTCTTTATGTACTAGATATTACAATTTCATGTTTTCTAGCTTTATGTTCGAATCTTTGAACTCCGAGCAGCACTGAATTCATATTAATGAGATCTGACATCAACTTGGAGCAAATTCATGGCTCACTTAGACATGATCTTTCAGATCGCTTCGGCTTAAAGGCCACTACCGATTTTCCCAACTCTAGAAATCAAAAAGAACGCCCCAAGGCCAGGTCTCCAAAAAACTGAAACCCGCGAACGAAGTTAAGAAACAGGGTTGGTAACCAAGTGTGCCAGTCGGTCATGTCTGGAAGTTTGACCTTGAGAGACACGAAAATACGTGATTTTGGAGTGGAGTTTTAATTTTCAAAATTTCGAATGGAGCCTGTCATGCTCAGTTTTCTCGTACCAACTGAAAACAAAAAGAGAAAAATCAGAACATCCGAATTTACAATTGCGGGAAAATACTCAAGAAAAACAGCAGGAAATTGCTATTCGCAATTTCCAGATATAAAATAGGACACGAGTAGAGCTGTCTTATCCCGGAATAGGAAGAGAGATAATAAAAAGAAGAGAGAACAACTATTCGGAACAAAACTAGAGTGAACCTTCAATGGAAAGGTGGACAGCTTGAGTGTCCCAATGGTTCATACAAAAACTCCAATTCTAGAGCCAGAATTTACTTCTGTTACCAAAACTGACCAGTATTAAACTTATCTAGTTATATTATCTAATTCTTGAGTTGCTTACCAATTTAATTACTCCTTGTACTCGAGTGCATCAACATGTGAGTCCCTAGTTTAAATTTCTCGAGTGTGTTTTATGATTGTTATGTTGAGATAAGGCGAGTTTTAGGTTGATCCATCTGAAATGGATCAAAGTTTCACTGTCCAATAAAAAGTAACTTAACGGATTGTTCCGACTCTGTTTTTAACGGCGTTCGTGTATTTTGGGTATTTTGAGACCTAAGTATGTGAACGTTCTTATTTTCTAGAGTGGGGGGATATTTTGGTAGTAGCCTTTAAGCTGTAACGGGTTCTAGTCTCATGTCGCAAGCGAACCGAATTGGCTCCGACCGTTCTTGAGGTAGAAAAACACGAGAGATAGTGTCCCTGACTCTTGAGCCAATGGTTATAGGGCCTATTTTTCTTAAGCCTCATATGTGACCGAAGTAGGCGACTGTTACATAGTGTTTTTATGGCGCTCCTGGGTGTTTTTACGACATCATGACTACGGAGTCGAACCCACTTGACACAGCTCCGGGCTGCATGCCCATTCTAGAGTACCGGTGGTACGGTTCAGCGGGAACGTGTAAACCTTCCGGTTGTACCGTGATAGCTTTTTAAGAAAACTTGAGAAAACTTCCTGGTACGCTCTCCGAACGAGGCCTAGCTAACCGAGTAAAGGGGGGTAACTAGGGAAACAAAAACAAGAAAAAAGTATAGAAAAAGGAACAAAAACCATAAAACAAAAAGACAGTGACTTTGATACCGGATCATTTGTATCAAACCTTTATATCAATTAAATAGTATACCCATACTGTTTTATAAGACCGATCGTTTCGATCAATATAGCAATTTAAACCAGTGACTTCAATAAGGTGCCCGAGTGGGGGGCGTTGTTAAGGGTTTTCAGATAGATTGCAACCAAGCCGGACAACTAGGAGACTTGACTGGAAGAGGTGACCAGTCGAGTGGAAAAGTGGTTCACAAGGATCGAACCGGACCACTAGGAGACTTGACTGGAAAGGGTGACCAGCCGAGTGGGAAAGTGGTTCACAAGGATCGAACCGGACCACTAGGAGACTTGACTGAGAGAGGTGACCAGCCAAGTGGGAAAGTGGTGCTGCTGTCAAGTGCAGAACAGAGACAACTAGCACAGGATCACCACAGGAGGACGCACAGGGGTGTTCTCAAGTTGAGCAACGGGTATCGTTAGAATCCACATTACATTATAGGAGATAAGTGTAAAGTTGGATAAGCGGAGTCCCATTGTTTTGAGGAAGTTTTTGCACAAGCAGGCCTGGAAACAGGTCTACGGTTTTCCCTCGAGAGGTTTAGCACCCGGCACTTAAGGTAATTTTAGGCTTAAGAGGGGGGCTAAAGAGGGGGGAGGTTAGAAGGGGGGCTGGTTAAGTTAGAGGTGAGCGGTTATAAATTGTAAAAAGGGGGGACACATTAGAGTAACTAATTGTTCGGCATCGTCGAGTTAGTTACATTAGATATTTACACCCGTTGGTTATAGGAAGCGGACATCCAAAATTAGAATCAGGTTAAGGTAGGTACCCTGGTCGGATCGGTAGGGGGGAACGGACATAGACAGTTTTTCTGATACCCCATAAGATCGCTAGCAGAGGGGAGGAAAACGCGTGGTAATCGGGTACCAGACATTTTTTCGGACAAGATTGACATCAGTCGACCTTGAATTTCAGGAGAATTCAACCGTCTGTTTTTGAGACTTTTTCCAGTTTAAAATTTTACGTTTTGGTGAAAATTTGTTGTTGGTATTTTAACGAACAGGTGATCACAAGATACCTGCGGGGAATTTAGAGTTTCAAATACAGGGGGGTCAGTATTTGGGTTTTGACCAGTAAGATAGGGATTTTGGGAAAATTTTTACTAGAGCTCAAGTGGTGGTAAAAGGTACAGTGGTTCAATAGTCCCTACAACGAAGAAGAAGAGACCCGATATCCAGACACTCAGTGACGAGTCTTGGGACAGTGCCGAAGAAGTCTTGGGACATTGCAGTCTGGGGACAGTCTTGGAGCAACACAGTCTTGGGACAGTGCAGCATTGGCACAGTCTTGAACCAGAGCAGTCTTGGTACGAAACAGTCTTGGGACGTTGGTCTTGGGACAGTGGTCTTGGGACAGTGGTCTTGGGACATTGGTCTTGGGACATTGGTCTTGGGACATTGGTCTTGGGACATTGGTCTTGGGACATTAGTCTTGGGCCATTGGTCTTGGGACATTGGTCTTGGGACATTGGTCTTGGGACAGTGGTCTTGGGACATTGGTCTTGGGACATTGGTCTTAGGACATTGGTCTTGGGATATTAGTCTTGGGCCATTGGTCTTGGGACATTGGTCTTGTGACAGTGGTCTTGGGACATTGGTCTTGGGACATTAGTCTTGGGACAGTGGTCTTGGGACATTAGTCTTGGGCCATTGGTCTTGGGACATTAGTCTTGGGACAATAGTCTTGGGACGTTGGTCTTGGGCCATTGGCCTTGGGACATTAGTCTTGGGACAGTGGTCTTGGGACGTTGGTCTTGGGCCATTGGTCTTGGGACATTAGTCTTGGCACACTAGTCTTGGGACGTTGAACTTGGGACATAAGTCAGGTTGAAGAAACCAATTGTAAATCATATTCTCTATCCTATACTAACATATAAAATTTTCAAGAGCTTAAGAAAAGTTGTTTTTAGCAAATCGTTGATTTCTTTTTATTTTTTTTTGTCAAAGGAGTTTTAACCTTAGAGTAGAATTTTGTAGATAATAATACTGTAAATAGTAACAATTGTAAATAATGAGGCGGAGCAGGGTACCGGTAGCTGAAAAAAGATTTACCGAAGCGAAGACAAAGTACAATTCGTCGCTACGTAGGACAACGTCAAAGGGTCCGAAGGTAACAAAGAAGAACTTTTCAGTTAGTATGGTCAGCACGAGGAGCACCACGGAGAACAAAGCGAGAGAGGGCATGGAAGGGGAACGAGTAGCACCCACCATTGAGATTGATCTAGAGACACCTGATCAAAGTGTGGATGAAGCAGGAAAGAAGACGACAGAGTCAACTCCAATGCCTAATGCGGAAGAACCCAACCCGAATCCCATAGAGTTCTCACCGATAGACAACGTGGAAGACACAACAGGCAACACGCCAGAAACAGTGAAGGATGAGTCTCAAAAGAGAACGTTTTTTACTGAAAGATTAGCAATGATGGTCGGAATGAGATCGAAGGACGCAGCAGTGGAGGAGACGAAAGTCGAGAAAAGCAAAACATTCGGAACAGTATCCACGAGAACAACAGAGACCGATCAGAACGAGGGTCAGAGAAAATCGGGACCAGTGACCAACTACAGGACAACAACGGACCATGGAACGACAACTCTTGAGTTAAGCGACTTGATGGCGAAGCTAGATCAGATAGATAAGAAACTGAAGCACAGCGAAGAGGATAGAAATGTGATAAGGAATGAAATGAGACACAACAAACATGACTACTTGGACAACTATTTCCATCTAGCGAGAGCGACGGAGGAAAAGCTTCAGAAGATGTCTGACAAAGTAGAAACCACTGATGAAGAGCAAGAAAAGAACATCAGAAAAGACATGCAAGAAATGAAGCAGCGATATGACACAGAGAATTGCCAGTTAGGGTGTTTGGAAACGAGAATGGATACGATGAGTAGGGAACAGGCTGAGAGCTCAAGTGCAATACAGACAAAGCTAGACGCTATTCTTAGGAATTCAACACAACAAGTTAGGCCAGCTGCAGAGAGGACACAAGGTAATAGAGTGGACTTCGTGGAGCCTCAAAGGAACAAACGACAGTCAACACCGTTACCAGCAACCCGGGAGGCCGCGATTACGGCACCGGCGGGGGCCAGGGCAATCATAAAAAATGGAACAGCGAACACAACCAGTGGTCCAGGGGACTCCACGACTCACAACAACGTGGGACCGGATGCCATGACCTGGGCAAGCACCTGGGAAATGATGAACAGGACGCTAGAAGCCTTCGCCACGAGGAACACCGACTCGAGTGACAGAGGAGGCAACAAATCCAGGAAAATCTTCAAGAAACCGAAGGAGTTCAAAGATGATTCAGATGGATGCATTGACACTTGGGTAGAAGTCATGAGGTTGCACTTAGAACAAGACAACTTGAACGATGAGAGGCAGGCATGCACAGCGATACTGA